CAGGCAATGTCTCAGTAGACAGAGACTCAAACACACCACGGTCGTTCAGAATCAGGAGCAAGAACCAAAAAAGCACTGATTTGTGGCAAGGCCGAATAACTCGATTCACCTCTCCAAGTTCCACTTAGCTGCAAAATGAGAAACTTAATAGTACAAGCAGAGCCCTATGCTCAGCAGGGGATCAGGAGACTGAAATCATGTCTGCATCATGCACCTCTGTATTAGAGAAATTCACAGTTGATGTGCAGGTGGAAAAACATGTTCAAAAATTAGAACTAGAAGGCGACATGTGAAGTGAGCAGAGGCCAGCACAAGAGACCACGTAGAAAGCAAACCATGAGTACAGAGGACAGGACAGACTGCTGAGCACTTCCTGTGCAAGACGCCCAGTCCTCCCCAACCTGTGGGGATGGTACTTTTAGCCAATTTCTTAACCCAGGTGTGAACAGAGGCTCAGAGATGCCACGCATGCAGAATGTGACTCATGTCCCCACAGAGCTGTGGGAGTTTGGACCCACTACCTTCCTCCACCTCTCTAATACACCCTGCCTCATTTTACCGAAAGGGAATCTTGCCCAAGGTGGGGCACGGTTTGATGGGGGCAAAGGTCTCCGTCTTGATTGGCAAGCAGCAGAGAGCGATCTGGAATCTGCAAATCATCCAGGATTCCTGCCTGGGGTCAGGGCGACTTCCCGGTGGGCCTCAGACTCCAGACAGCACGTCTTAGAGAGTCCCAGCTTAAACTGCCTTGGCACACAGCCTGAGAATGCTGATTAAAGCAGCTTTTCTGCCTCTACCTCAGACAATGTTTCTTTCACAAAGAAAAAAATTTAGCTGATATCAGGCCATGGTGCTTTTATGGTTTTTTTCCTCTCTTAAAAAGTACATTTTAAAACCTGGAAGCTCCTCTGTATTTTGAAATCAAGCTCAACAGCCCAGCAATTTCGCCTTGCCCTGTTGATGTTATTCACACTGACATCTAGCGGCCAACGTTGAAAACTGCAAGCTCGAATAAGCAAGTCTAACTGGATAACAGGATTAGGAGACCACAAATCACCAGGTCTCTTCAGGGTGCTGGGCAAATTGGAGAAGAATCGGCTCCGCCTCCCCGGCCCACCCTCCTCAGACCCTGCCTGTCTGAGGACTAGGCCAGGTCCCTTTCCCTACCTGGGCTCCTGTGCTCATCTGTAAGTGGCCAGGGGAAGCCCAATGTCTGCACTAAGACTCAGCTCAGTCCTGAGACTGGGTTTGCTGCCAGTTACCAAGCACTCTCTTGAGCTTTGAGTAGAAATAGCCAGCCTGGCAGATGACCGCAAGGGAGAAGAGCATTCCCAGGGCCTGGCATCCACAGCAGCTCTCACCAAGGTCTCTCACCTCCCCATCCCTCCCTCCTCAGCCCCAGCCTTCTCTCCTTGACTCCAAGCACCTGCCTCAAACCTGTCTCACAGTACCTTGCTACAGTAAAGCCATGTTGCTCTTTCTCAAAGTCTTCTAAAGCCTGACATCACCTTGGAGATAAAATTCAAATCCAGCAACCTGATACACGCAACAAAGAGTGATATTCAAAACTAGTTTTCTCCTGAATATCCCGGGACACCAGTCAACAACCAGGACACCAGGCACAGCAGGTCTGGGCCAGACATGAGTGGTGTGGACATAGCTGGGCAGCAAGGAAGCCCAGGAGGGGTCTGCAGGCTCACCCTGTAGCGCCTGTGATTGGTAGCTCTGCTCAAGCCCATTCCCTCTCCAAGTGCTACACTTCAGGGACATGGAGGTGGTCTCTGAACACAGCCTCCTTTGCCTGGAGCCCTTGCCCCCACGTCCTCTCCAGCTCCTGTTCTGGCTTTTGAGGGTCCTGATGTAGCTGTTCCTGAGCTCTGGAGATGGTCATTCAGGTCATCCTGGCACCCTAGGGCCACAGCACAGTCACACTGTCCCCAATCTCCTTACTGATTCTGTCTCTACCCCAGCTCCCTACAGCAAGAGCACTGGCCTGCAGCAAACAATGGACGTGCATTTCACCAAGGGAGTTAAAGTGAACTTCAGAGCCAGGAGGAGCCTGCAGCTCAGGATTCAGGACAAAACTCCACAGGCACCACAATAGCAGCAGTGACTCGATGGCATTGCTGTGTGGCACACAACCCCGTGCAGCAGTTAGGACAGTCTCCATAATCATTGTACACACATTTAAGGAAGCTGTGAGCCTTCACTCTGCAGCACATTCAAAGATATTTAACAATTTTGTTCATGCCTGTTGTTATGATTTATGTCTAAATGACCCCCAAAGCCACATGCTGTTGTCAGTAGAGCTTTTCAGAGTGTGCTGGATCTAGGGCATGTGACACTGGGATTAAGGGTGTGTGGTACAGATTACTCCATTGGTTGGAACTGGCAGCACTCTGGGTGTGGCTGAATGGATTTACTGAAAATAGGAAGTGGAGATTTAGCTCAGTGGCATAAGCACCTGCCTTACAAGCAGGCGGTCGTGAGTTCGATCCCTGGTACTGATAAAAAAAAAAGTCTGGATTTACTAAAAACAGAAGCCCCACCCTGGGTGTGGGGGGCATCACCCAAAAGGTTGATAGTTTGGATGCAATAAAAAGGAAAGCCAGGCTTACTGCTTCTGCTGCCACTTGCTGCTTCCTCCCTGTCATACCATGAGCTCTTTCTCTTCCACAGTTCCCTGCTACCATGCCTCCCTGCCTTGGAGCCAGTTGGCTATGAACTGAATCCTCTAAAAAAATAATGACGTGCATGGGAGTCCTAACCTCTCCACATCTTAGCAGAACCCACCCTGGAGGCTATTTGAGGAGGAGCCATGTTTATCTAGTCCTTGGACATATGTCTACACAGAAACCTCTCCCAGAAGCTGCAAGAGCTCTAGGTTCCCATCAAAGCCTTGTTCACTTGTCAAAAGCAGGAAGCTGTCTGAGAGAGCATGTGTTCTAATCTCCATAGAAAAAGAGGAGAGAGGAAGAGAGGAAAGGAGAGGGGGCAGACGGAGGGAAGGAGGGCTCTTCACAGCATTCTCTGTAAGTGGCAAATAAAGCTCTACAAGAAGGTTTAGGATTGGGGTCCCCCAAGGGGACACCCAGCAATGTCTATAGGCAGCTGTGGTTGGCACAGTAGAGTGTTTAGAGGGTAGAGGCCAGGGGTGCTGCCAGCATCTTCTACAGCCCAGGGAAGTCTGCACAGCAAAGAACAGGCCCCAAACTAAGGGTTCTGAGGCCAGGAGCCCTTCGTTTGGAGGGCTTGGCCCATTAGTTCTGCTACTCTGAGCTGTGTGACCCAAGCAGCTCCTTCACTTCATGGAGCTGCCTTCTGTAGAAAACTACTCACTTGTTGGTTTGTTCAGCCCCTTAATAGATATTTCTCAAGGAACGGGCCTGGGGGGGTAAGGGGCAATGAAAAAGGCCCCACATAACCCCAGAGAGCAGAGAGTCAAAGAGCTGAGTAGTGAACGCCCTTTACTACCCTGTGAGGTGCCCCCAGACCCGAGGATGTGGAGCTAATGTGCAGATTTCTCTGTAATCCCTGTGACAGGCTCCCTCCCTTGGCAGAGATTGTGCTACAGCTGCTGGCTGCGTGTTCTCTCTCCTGAGAGGCATAGGGTTTTCTCTCCCGGGTTTTAATCTCTGTGAATTCAGTGTGTATACCTTAAAGTCTTGTGCTTTGCTTTTACTGTCAGTCAGTTGGCAGTCACCAGGCTCTTGCCCTTGAGGAAAAGTGTGCCAGTAGTCAGTGGCACTGATTCCAGGTGGTGGTGCTAATCCATCCTCTGTTCTGCAGTCCAGAAACCAGGGCACAGTTGTTCACAGGAGGCCTGTGATTGGACATCCTCCTCCATCCTGGAGCAGCTCCCAGCAGAGGTGACCCAGGTCAGGCACAGCGCTTCTACTGGTAAAGAATGTCTTCCCTGGCATGCCATGGCATCCAGCCTTGTCCTCTCTGGCCTGGTCTTGCCTCACAGAGATAACCAGCAAGTCTCATGCTGTTCCCAGTAAAGGCCACATCCCAGGCTGCACATCAAATTAGCAAGATTTTAAAAATACTGATCCCTGGGCTCTACTCCAAATAAATTACCAGGAATCTCCAGAGATAAGTCCAAGCCCAAGAGTTCGTATTCTTTGTAAAGGCTCCACCTTAGAGCTGTGGGTCTGAACAGCCTGGGCACCAGGGTTCGCATTCTTCAGGTGGCCCAAAGGTAAGCGGATTAAGACCCATTGGCAAAAGCCCTCTCTCCACCCCCGAGAAACTGCAGCTTCTCCAATACCCCCAATGCTGGGGGGCCTTAAGGCTACACATGGAGCCCTCTGAAGACACAGGCTGGCCACAGTCTGTACACAGACATGAAGCCAGAATTCCAGCTACTAATGGGACCTCCGCCCCCAAGCCCTGAAGCAACTCATGGCACTGTCTGCATCCCTAAAAGGAGTCACTGTGCCCAGAGGCCAAGCTGCATGTATGTAACCACAGGTGTATCATCATGCCCTCCTTCCGGCCTCTGTTTACTAGTGACCCAGCCTACCACTTTATTACAACACTTCACGAGTCAGAGGCACAGAGAAATAAGAGTGATCTGTGTGTACTGTGCAGGGAGCTTTCCAATCATGCAGTGGCACAGTGAATGTGCCAAACATGAAGTTGGAAATGAAGGTCCTCTGCAGTCTGAAGCTTGTTACTAAATAAGAGGTTACCCTTAGAGAAACTAAGCCAGAGGTGGAAACAAAAATAAGATGTTTTCCAGGGAGGGAAGTTTTCATTTCAAGGCAAGGCCTCAGCCCACAGCTACCCACCCTGTAAAGTGAAAGGGAAAGCTTTCTTACAGACAGCTCTTGGAAGTAACTGTCCTGATTGGACCTGCTGTGGTCAGACTTCAAGCAGGGGCTGCTGAGTTCTTCAGAATTTAGTTATCACCAAAGAGCCCCCATTTACCATTTCTAAGGCTACTGGTTCCCCAGAGCTGTGTTCCTGTGACCCCCATCATGAACTCACTGATCTTAATCCAGCCTTGGTTTTAATGTCAATATCAGGTTCAGAGAGCTCTCCACTTAGAACAGTCGAGGGATGACGGGAACTAGCAATGTTCTGTAAAGCTGTATCTGATAGAGCTGAGCTCAGGACATCACACGTGTGCCTGGCATGTCACATCTGGCTCCACGGTTCCAGTGTCCTCCACTGGCTGTCTCTGCAGGGCAGGCATGGTGGATGAGGCATTTCTGGGGTTCCCAGTGACCAACATCCAGTAGTTCTTTGGCTTCTCAGCTCTGTGTGAATCCAGATGTGTGTGAGCAGCAACCTCAGCTTCCTTCCCAAAATAGGTCCTGCAGGCAGGAACAAGTTGAGAAACCGAGTCACAGCAGCCCACACCTTTCCTTCCTTCCATCTCAAAGCACCCTCTGCAGCAGGCTGTGCTAAGGACTGGGGTCTCTAACACATGACACATTTGCAGGAAGGGTTCCCTGTGTGCAGCTAGGGTTAGGTGCAGAGCGTTAGAACCAGAAGATACTGTTTTCCCACGTCTTTAAACTGAACATCTGTGTTGGAACAGACTCTGCGTGTGCAACAGCCCAGCTTCAATCCTAAGACTAGGTCTTAAATGAACTGGTCACTAAAGGCAGAATTGTACAGATTGCACATTAAATATGCAGAACAAAAAACTGGTCAAAGGAAACTCCAGCCTGAGGACTGCTTCTGTTTTTACAGTGCTCTTATCCACAGCATTGTAATATATAACAGAGCATAACACTACAGCATCATATTGTACAGTACAATCAGCAAAAATTGCAGTGCTGTATAAACAAGGTACACTGTACAAAGAAAAACTCTGAGAATCTATAAACAAGATGCACAGAACTTTCTTTTAAAAAAATAAAGACAAGTCATAAGTCTGAGCAGCACATTGCAAGCCCGAACCATTGTTCAACAGGCAGCCACACCACAGCCCCAGCCCTTGCTTTTGCTGTATACTTCAGTATCTTTACCTTAAGAAAAGCTGCCGGTGGACTGCCAGGCCTCGATTCGTGTGACAGTGATAGAGGAGAAGTTTTTCATTTGCCTTGACAGGTTAAAAAAAGTGCACTATTAGCATTCTGAGCTAAGACCCCCAATTTCCTATAAGTAAAAGATACAGAAATATACTATATATTAATTTCAATTTAATATATATGGAATAACTTGGAAGGTAACTCATAACAAATCTGATTAAGCACATTGTGATAGACATCTGAGTGATAATTCAAAGTCATAATGGAGATCTTTGACAATGAGGCATGGTCAAGGGTGCAAGTTGAAAAATATGTATTCATGATATCTTGCTCTGTAAAAAACCTTCAAAATCCACACATGTACATGTGTATAGAAAAAGAAAGGGTGAACAGCAGCAGCTGCCTCTGGAAAGAGCAACCGTTACTGATAATTTTGATTTTGTGTGTGTTTTTTTACTTTATAAGCAAACATGCATTGTAGCTTGTAATCAGATAAAACAAGCATAACTTTAAAATCCTGACTGGTTGGAGTTAAATACTGTGGCAAAGAGAAAGAGCAAACTAGCCCTAACCCAAAGAAGACAGTTCAGAGGCCACAGGGTGACAGTGGCACTGGCTTTGTGGTCACACACCAGGCCCGTTAGGGACAGGGCCTGGCTTCCTGAGAAGCTGTGCCCCAGGGCCAAGGTGGGGACACCAATTAGAGATGCACAGCACAAACCACTGCTTCTCCGGTGAGTTTCACATCAAAGAAAGGAGAGTGAGGTCATGGCGTGAGCTATAGGAAGCCTCTGGTTCCAGACAGAGTGAGGGGCGTTCATTCCTGTAGCGTGGACCCTGTGTCCTGTCCCGTGCACAACGCGCTCACCCGGACAGGGAACCCCTCGTGCTCCAAACGCAGCTGGGGGTCAAGGAAGGTGGCCTGCCATCTGGCCAGGTGTGAGACCTCGTCCGTCAGGTGCACCTCCTGGAGCCAGGACTTCTTGGCTGACCTCAGGAGGGTCTTGTGGTCACTGGATAAGTACAGCTGGAGAGGACACAAGCAGGCAAGCGGGTCACAGTGATTCGCAAAGTTGAGATAATAGCACCAGTGGGCTGGGAGGTCCCTGCTCATAGGGATTTCATGAGAAATGGTAGTTTTTCACCAGAAATGCCAGCTTGGGATGGGGAGGCATCACACACACACACACACACTCCTCACATTGCTGGCCCTGCTTCTGGACACCACACTCAGTGTCCCTCTCTTCCCGCTCCCACTGCCTCCTCCCTCCTCTTCCTGGGGGGCTGAGGACACAGTCACTGTTTCATTTATTCTAAATAATGTGGCAGGGAACTTGACCACGAACTGAAAGTGGCCTTCACCCCAGTATCCTACATCGCACTCCTCCAAGGAGCTCAGCTGGGAGTCTTATGTCAGCTGCTGCAGAAAGGCCTCCCCACCCTCACCAAAGCCCCCAAGCTTGCCCCTTGCTGCTCTTTCCCAGTTTGCTTTGCCCTGAATGTGACAGCAGCTTCTGTCACGAGTGATAGATTTCTAGTCACTCTCTACTGGCACAGCAGTGTGGGGCACCGCTGGGAAGGCAAAGCAAGCTGCAACCCCTGGCAGGACGCTGATGGTGCAGGAAGAGGCGGGAAGTCCTCGGGGGCTCTCCCGAGAGGGCATGGTTGGGCCCCCGCCACTTCCTGATTCTCTCTGCTCCCAGCTTTGCTCCACACAAACTCCTTCCATGCTGAGCTGTCTTACCACAGGCCCAAGGCGGGGGCCAACATCAATCCCCAAAACTGTGGAGCCAACACTGAGCCAAAACTCACCTCTCCTCTGTATAAGTTGATTATCTCGGGCATTTGATCTGCATAACTTGATGCTAACACACTGGAAAGCCCTGAAGTAAGGGCAGAACAACAGAGTGGTGACGCGGTGAGAGGACAGGGGTACAGGGTACCAGGGAGGGCTGTGACATGGACACAGCATAAGGACATCTTACAGAAGGATTTACACATCATGGTGGGCACCCAGAATGCCAGTGGGCAATGGGGAACCACAGGTGGCTTTTCAGCGAGAACAGAGGCAACCAGGCCTGAGCTTTTAAAGATCAGGCTGGCATCTATCAGGGAGACTAACAGGGCCAGAGCAGGGGCCTGCATGGGAGGGAGGAGGCAGGTGAGGGGCCTGGGGAGAGACAGCAAAGACTCAGCTGAGAGCAGGACATGCTGGGACAGGGATGGGGCCCAAGTCCACCAAACTTGTATCCCGGAATGTGGGGAAATTCACGGCACCATTCAGAGACACAGAGAAACCAGGCCAGGAAGAAACCAGCCTCAGACCACAGATTTATTTAGTGGGAACCATATCAAAAAAAAGTATAAAATGAGAACCAAGCTAGAAGATAGTACCACCAGATTTTTTACGAATGTTCCAAAAATCCTTGCTAACTCAAAAGCAAGAAGCAGAAATTAAAGGTACGAGAGTTGGACAAGACAGAAAGTCACCATCTGAAGATGAAATGGCTGCCTGGAGACAGAAAAGGATCAGCTGAAAAGCTGCTAGAATGAACAACAGTGATTTCATCGAAGGTGATGTGAGAACTGTTTCCTTATATAGAAAAATTATTCTTCGTTCAATCCAATGTTCTATATTTACCCTATCAAAAAGGCCTCCCTACAGTGTTGGCCAAAAACACAAGACATCAAGGAATAACCTTAATGAGATGGGAAGAAAATCACAAATTCTTACTGAAAAAGATGAGATTTTACTAAGAGAACAGATGGTGTGGCAACTGAGAAAAATAAAAATTATTAACCTACTAAATATGTACTTCCTTTGACAGTGCCAATCAAAATGCAAAGTAATTTCCTTGCTTCACAAGGATAGAGGGCCTCAAAAAAGTAATTATTACATTTAACTGCAAGATTAATTCCTAACATAGTTTAGACAAAGAAATGTAATAAAAGACAATTATAAGCTGTTCAAACATATTATACAGCTATAATAATAAGACATTACAGTCCTAGAGTAAAAATAGACAACTATAGTTCAATGGATCAAAATAGGAAGCACAGAAATAGCACATTGTGCGCGTGGTAATTTAATATTTGCAAAGGGAAGCATTTGCAGCAGCAGAGAAAGGTCCGATTATTCAACAGATCGGACTGGTCATTTGGGAAAATGCAGATAGTCACATAAAACTCTATCAGTTAAATCCTAAGTGGATTAAAAAATAATTTTAAACATTATGCAAATACATAACATGTGGAAGAGAATACAATATTTTCTTTTCATCAGATTGCTAGCACAAACTAAACCTTAAAAAGAATGGAAAATTTTTCAAAAGAAAATATTGATAGATTTTACTTAAAAATATAATATTGGAACAACTCTAATGTAAAAGTCAAAGCCCAGAGGAGGAAATACTGGCAGCAAATATTACAAACTTTACAAAGAAAGGGGAAAAAGGAGAGGAAAGAGGAGAAGGGAGGGAGGGAGGAGGAAGAGGGAAGAGAAGTAACAGAAAAGAGGAAAATTCACATCAATACAGCTTTTTTCTCTTGTCAGCTTAGCAAAGATTTTCAACATGATATTTAATATAATTCACATCATTCTTATTTATCATTGCTGGGAATACAATTTGGTGCAATCCATTGCAGAAAGAATATGTATCAATACTTTTAAACCTATTTAGAGTCTGTGACTCATTCATATTTAAAAAAAATAAAAAATCTATATTGAAGATGGGATCTCTATCTTGGCCTTGGGCAGGGGAGCTTGAAGCGTTTACACACAAAACTGGAACTTCATAATACCCCACAGCAGACACACAAAGTGACCACTTACCATCTTGTTATCAAATCCTGCTGTTATCCCAAGGCAAAAGTCCTGCCCGTACCTAAGGACTTGGCCGGTGGCATCTCCGCCTATACTGCGGGTGGAGAATAAGTCCAATGAAACCACAGCGTTAGAATCATTCTACAGCTCCAGCTTCTGTCTGTGTTTACATCCATTGTTTTGATAAGATATATTCACATACCACACCTGAATTAAAAACTAAAAAGCTCTCTTGGCCTCTCAGGCCTTACAATCTGGCTGGCTTTTTCCTGTCCTGCCTGAGACCCAGAGCACCCACCCGTGGGGAGTTTTTGGCTGACGTGTGTTAAGTGAACTTGCCCGTGCACACTAAAAATTTCTGGTCACATGCACTAGCATCTGCAGAGAGATCCAAGACAACATGCTTGTAGACTTTGCTACACTCTTCCCGCCTGATTATCCAGGAAACAGAAATTGTGCTCAGTTTTAACATAAACTATGTGTACTCAAGAAAAATCTAAATCAAGGGCTTAAAGGACCAGCTATGTTCTTGTCATACAAACATCATATCATAAATTAGTTAACAAAGTGAAAGCACTTTCAATTGGTAACTGCTGATTATCAAAATCTCCTAAGTCCATTTTAGTGGACAATTCATTTTTCAAAAGCAAATCCCATCCAGTGCCACCTAGTAGAAAATTCTACCTTTTTTGTTGTAAAGATAGTGTAGTAATCTTAAGAACAACGGCTCAGAGCAAGTGCAGAGATCCTGAGACACCATTAGGAAAACCCACTTAGCTCACAAGAGCTCGTGCATTCAATTCTGCAGATCAGATAATTATGAAGCAAACAGTTTGAATTGAACGCAACTTGCCTGCTGCCTGAAGTAAAGCAGAATGGAGTCCGATACATGACAGTTCTCAAGCTAAGCAAGCAAGCCAAGACCACAGAACCTTGCTTCACACCCTCTCAACCCCAGGGCATCCCTAACCACAAGTCCCACAGAGGCAATAATAAGAAGCCAGAAGTCAAAGCATCTCTACCTTAGAACAACAAATGTGTTTCTGCCAACCGGGACCAGGGTGTGAGCTGCACTCAAGCCACAGGGCAACTCCAGCTTGTCACTCAGGTAGGCTTGGATTTCATCCGGAGTCATGCACAGACTCAGGTCTCCACCCAGAAACGCACTGGCTTCTTCCCCCTCAGAGTGGTCGGGATTCACCAGCATCACTTGGTCACCATAGTGAATATATCCATCTTCAGATATGGAAAGCTGCATCTGCAGTTTTAACAGGGAGTTTTCAAGTAAACCTATAATCCCTTCACCAACGCCAACCCCATCCCCACTACCAACTCTTCTCAGACTAGCACCGTGGCCAGAAGGTTTGCCACAGGTTCCCCCAAATCTTCAGCTTTCTTCCTGCCCCTTCCACTTTGCCAAGGTCAAACTCTCAACAACCTCAGATAATACCTAATTAAGCTGGTGAAAATCACACAGGCTGACTCCATCATTCATTTACTAGTCATTCACTGACAGCGTCTGGAGCACCCACTAAGAGTATTAATGTGCTGGTTCATTAAGTTCTTTACTCGGAAAATATGAGTAAACACCATTAAAAGCAGATGTCTTTATGTTCTTCAGTCTTAAAAGATTTGTAACATTGTGGCTTGCAGACTTCAAAAGTTTTTAAAAGCTTTTCCAAAAACGTTGCCATTTTCCAAATGGTAACTCATTTAGTAGGATTTTTTTTTTCTGCTTCCCATATGTTCATACATAATAGAGTTTTGGAAATCACCGGTCTCAAAAGATGCATTTTCAGTCTTCTGTTTCTCTGAATGAGAAGTTTCCCCTGCTCTCTCTTCTCTAAGAAGTCCTTCATCCGTTCCTGCTTAGAGAAGAAGAATGAAATCCAAAGACAGCAACAGTCCCAGTAGGGAACGTACTAGTAGCTGTAGGGGTCAGAGGCTTCCTGAATTGAAAAAGCAAAACTTGAGGACAGAAGGGAAACGCGTGCATAGAGGGAAAGTTGGAGCTTTCCTTTAGCATTATTTTAATGCTTCTATCATTGCAGAATCTTTAGAAAGTTGGGAAAGGCACAAGAAGGAAAAAGCAATATCCCCTGTAATTATCCCAGCTGGGGACAACCCTGTGGTACCAGGTGGCAGCCACCTCTCCTCTGTGAGGCCCCAATTATGTTCTGATCAAACATACTGAATGTATGATGATGGGTACTGAGGCCTGCAGAGTGTGATCACTGATACTGAGGTCCACCCTAACCATCCCCACCCCCACCCAGGTCATGCACACACAAATACATCAGCGAAGGACCTGTGGTCACTCAGGAGGGCGCCTGTCTTGATTGTCTCACAGCCTTGGGACCCAACGAGCTGCAGCTCAAGGTGGGGCAGGGGAAGTGGGGGAGAGGCTAGGCCTGGAGAGTCTTCAACCACTGGGATGAAGCCCAGAGCAGGAAGGCGGCTGCTAGGCAGGGCTCTGGGCCAGGAGTTTACAGAGCTCAAGGGAGGCGGATGTGGGGAAAGAGGCTGGGCCTAAGGCCAGGACCACGGTCTGGGGACACCTGCAGCACCCGACGCACTCACGACCTCCTCCAGGTAGGCGTCCTCGTTCCAATTTCCCATCCGGACTCCTGAGCTATACAGGTTCTGCGCCATCGTCCCCTGCAGTCCTCAGAGCCACTGTCCTGGGACCGTCGTTAGCGTTCCCCGTTGCCATGACGACCGGCGGGGAACGGGTTGGTAGGAGTCCCTGATCTTTGGCCAATAGGCGTCGGAGCAACCTGAGACAGACTGCTCAGGAGGCAACATAGGCCTCTGAGGCCCTCCTTGCACAGCAAGACAAGCCTAGTAGTCTTACATGCTTCCTAGTAAAAGTAAAAACATTTTCTTGTTTGTTTATGATCCAAAGGCAAAGTGCCGCCAGGGTGCCCTGTGCTTGTCCTATGCACCAAGCAGCTTTAAAACGGGAGCAATTGACTGGCTTGCTGAAATTTTTTTGCCTTATCAGCAAGTGCTGTTTTCCTAATTATAAAACAATGTGTGCTAATAGAGACATTTGAGAACCAAACTAAGGTGGAAGGAAGGTGCGAGGAGCTGTTCCAATTTTCACAGTCTCCAAAGAAAGAAATAGGTCATGGTAGTATATTTTTTATATATTTCTGGAGCAAGTGTGTACTTCCTCCAATGCGTCAGCGAGATGAGAAGCATTCCTGAAAAGCTGCAATGTGCTGTAGCCAACATTTTTTTTAAAATAACATACAATTTTATGAGTACCAGGGCTGAACAGTTGCTGCTCTAGCTGGAAGTAGATGCTGGTGAAATGCTCATAGTAACTCACCTGAGAGCAGCTTTATCCTGAGACCAGATGAAAAGGGAAGACCCAGGAGACTTCCTGTCACGCAGCTCATGAAAACAAACCACAGGAAGACTGAAGAACTCGGTAATGGAGGCCTTGGCCGATTGCTTCTGCCTTAGGGGATCCTGCAAAGAGAAGTGGGGTGGGGGTGAGCTTTGGGCAGTGGGGTGCTCTGGAGCTTGGCTTTGAAGAGTCTGAGAAACAGCCTTGGGCACATTCCTCACAAAGCCTCCAGCTCTGTCCCTGCACCACTCCATTCAGGGATGCTTCAAATAAGCAAGGGACAGCAAAAACACAAGCTGAAACACTGCATGATTCTCTTACATGAGAAACCCAAACTGTAAGGAGCAAAGTATAAGACAGATAATAGGAAACAGAGAAATAGATCTTTTGCAATAGGCAGGAGACCAAGAAATTGCATAGGGGAATAAAAAGAATGAAGATGTGTTAGGCACGTGTACCAGTCCCCCACGTGGTGAATGTGACCATTATATATCACAAACGCGGACTAATACAATTTTTAAATTTTTTCAAAGGATACTTCAAAAGAATGTGTAGGACAGAGAAGCTAGGTCAGCTACCCTTCCACTAACTGCATCTGGTACATACAGAAACTGACATTCCTAAAAGCTGCCAGCTTGTGCAAGCTCCATTGGCTAAAAGGATCCAAGCACTGAGTAATGGTGTTTCCAACAACACTATGACACTGGTCCCCACAAGATCATCATGGAGCTGTTAGTGTGCTACTACCTAGTGATGAACAGCAGTTGTGACACCATGGTGCAACACAATAATGTGTGTGTGATGTTGGTGCAAACAAGCCTAGCACACTGTAAGTCAATAAAAGTAGCTTGGGTATTTATGCACAATGCATGATTCTTGATACGACCACAGATGACTGTTTGCTGGGCTGTGTGTTTACCATGCTCTTGTCATTGCCTTAGAGTGAACTCCTTGTATCCAATTAAACATAAGATCCTGTAAAACAGTCCGTGTGCGGTGCTGACAGCAGCCTCACGGATCTGATGTTCATGGCCTCTGCTAATTGCAGTGTTTTCTCTCATGCTTGGTTTAACCTCCTGCTGTTTTGTTCATGGTGACCCCTGAGTCTACCAATCCCACAGCTAATGCTGCCAGTGAGAGGCAACATCAAGTAATTGAGCTGTAAACAAAACTAAAAATAGTAAGGGCTACAAAACTGGAGAATCAGTGATGCTTCTCCACACTAGCCAGATACGATATGTCACGTTCTACCATAGCTCCAGTCCAAAGGGCAGGAGCAAGGGACAAAGGAGGTTAAAGAACAAGGCAGGGAAATTGAAGGCGGTGAGGAACCCCGAGAGCGGACACAGAGAAGCTTCTCAGAACCCAGTTTAATGCCCAGTTCTCTAGGATGCCGCACAACGATGAAATCACCTAACAGCACTGTCATAGTCACCTTCCCAGCACTGGGACACATTACCCCACACCTACAACTTCAAAGAGGAAAGGCTTATTGGGCTGAGGTTCAGAAGTTCCAGTCCATGTCTGGCACACTTAAACACAGAAATGAGATGACACAAGAGCCAGGCTGGAGGGAAGTTGCTCCAGTCATGATGGCCATAATATTGGGCAGAAGACAAGGCCACACTAGCCCCCATATTATTTAATAGGGACTCAATGATTCAGTCATTTGCTAAGTCCTTATGCCAGTCCAGCTTGCCTCCCACCTACCTCCTTTGTGCTATTACTAACAAGTATATTACAGGCACAACAATACAATTATATATAAGTTGTTTTATGCAAATGCTTTCAAATCATTCAGAAGAAGGAATCTGTAATTACACTCTTTATAATTACATCCATAATTATCTTTTCTGATGCTGTTTGTTTTCTCCTGTGGATACAAATTATTGCCTGAAATACTTTCAATGATAAGTCAAGAATACTAGTGTTGCAGTGGATGGGCCAATAATGGTCCATGTTTTATGTACCTACAAGGAAAGAATTGAGAAGTGTATACCAGCTACCAAGTAGCAAGCAACTGTATTTATTAAGCATCGTAGAAAGTTGTGCTCAGGGCAAATCCATACCAGTGTAAGACAGGGCACAGAGAAATATGATAGGGAGACAGAAACACTTGCACACAGGTCAATTGTTGCAGGCAGCTGAGTTAGTTAGAAATAATGTAGGCAGTGAGACAGGGCTAGGTCCCCAAAGGAGCCAGTACAAAAGAGATACCAGCCTAGAGTCACCATCCCATCCCCCTAGGGAAGAGTCACTGCTCCTTAAGAATGCCCGTTTTCTATGTGACTCGCTTCCCCATTTGTCCCCAATTTAATCAATTTTACCTGAACTCCTAATCTTATTGGCTGACCATAGTTCTGCCCCACCTTATGCTCATCTGCCTTGTGAGTTCCCAATTTTCCCCATCTTGCCCCATGATTTCACTCTATAAAAGTCCCTGGAAAAGACAAAGTCCTAAGCAACCCGCTTGGGACCCCTTCTGTCTCTCTTCACACAGAAGCTTTCTTTCTCTTAATAAATATACTCTACTCTTAGCCTCTGTTGTTCCAAAAATTCATTCTTCAATTTTAGAGAACATGAACTCATACCAGACACAGTAAGTTGGGAGTTTCATTCCCTTATATCAAAATCACAGACATGTTGCAACAACAACCAAAAAGGACAGATACAGCAGGATTTCCCACTTTAAAGGCCTATCCTCTCCACTTTGGTGCCTCCACACTGAATCTCTAGATGTGATTGACCGGAATGATTGACAAGGTGCTGAGTCATCTTAAGGGCTTCCAACATGCATGCTTGTCCCAGAAGTCACTCTAATCTTAATTGTATTCATGACATGTAGTGCATATTTATGAATCTGCATTGAGATAGGAGGTAGGTAAAGGTGAGCAAAGGTCAAATTAGGAAATCCAACACACAAGTGCTCTTGCCTAGAATATCTGCCATCTCCTGAGTTTTTTTAGAACACTGGAAGCCCCCTCATTGTGATGGAAAGTTAGTTGATGGGGCATGCGTGTGTGCATGCGTGTGCGTGTGTATGTGTGTGTGTGTGTGTATGTGTGTGTTCTTGCTGCTTTTAGTGTATTTCTTTGCCTTTCAACACTGACTATAATATGCCTTTGCTTTATCCTACTTGGGGTATGTTGAGCTTCCTGGATATGCAGACTAATGTTCTCTCAAACAAATGTTAGGAGTTTCCAAACATTACCTTTTTGAATAATTTTTTCTGCCTGTTTCTCTTGCTCCTGTCTTTGGGAGACTTCCTCTATGTGTATGTTGGTGCATTTAATGATTGCATATCTATCTCTGAGATTCTATTAAATTGTTCTTTTTTCTCTCTGTTCTTCAGATTGCATAATTTCTATCAGTTTATCTTCAGGTGTGCAGCTTTCCTTCTTCATGAGACTATATCTACTGTTCTATCCCTTTGGTGAATTTTTCATTTTGGCACTTTTCAACTCCAGAACTTGCATTTGATAACTGATACTGATAATTTTCTGATGTTCTTTGTTGGATGAGACATTGTCATTGTATCCTCCTTTAAGTCCTTAGCCATTGTTTCCCTACATTCTCTGACTGCATATAGTAACTCCATGAAACCCAACATCTGACTCCTCTCAAAGGCAGTGCCTACTACCTGAGGTTTATCCAGTGTATCCATTACATTTTCCTGTTTCTTTGCAGGGCTCATAGTTTTTTACTGAAAACTAACTATTTTACATAATATATTACGGTAACACTACATATTTTGTTGGTATGCTGTCTCCCTATCCCTGCTGGTCATAACGTTATTTGCTTGTTTATTTGTATATTTGTTTACTGACTGAAGTATAATAACAAATATCTTTGATCCTTGTCCCTGGTTCCTAGAACAAAACTTCTAAAACGTTTTGTGCTTCCCTAATGATGGGGACGTCTTTTAATACTCCTAGTGAGTTCCTGTTGATTACACCTGAGTTTATGCTGATGAGGTGCTTTGGGGTGGAACCTCAGGCAGATAGCCTCTGGATGGATTTGATTACCAGAAGTCTAAGTGACCCAAGGAGGAAAGCTTCTAGCCCCACTCACCAAGACATGGGAAAGCAGTGCGGAGAACTGGAAATTCAGTTCTGTGAAAAGTTTTGGACACCATGATTCACTGTGTTTGCAGGTTGGTGAGCACAAGATCCAAGAAGGTGACACACACGCACCAAAGAGGCACAATAGTACTGGGCCAGCCTCCCACACTTGCCCTGTGTGTCTGCCCCACTTAAGAGTTTCTGAGCTGTGCCCTTTGTGACAAATCAGCAGATGTAAGTAAAGCATCTTCCAGAGTCTCTGAGCTGTTCTAGCAAATGACTAAGCCTGCGGAGAACAGAGGGACCCCCTAATCTGTAGCCTGTCCCTCAGAAGTGTGGGTGGCTGGGGACTTGGATCAGCATCTAAAAGTAAGGACAACTCATGGAACTCATGTCCTGATTCTAAGTCCAGATGGGTGGTGTCAGAATGGAACTGGATCG